TGTGTGTGTGTGTGTGTGTGTGTGTGTGTGTGTGTGTGTGTGTGTGTGTGTGTGTGTGTGTGTGAACAGAACACTGAAGGTCCTGAGGAAGACACTGAAACAGGCGTTTTCAGGCTGCACCGTCATCATGTCAGAACACAGGGTGGATCCACTGACGGACTGTCAGTCATTCCTGGTAAGTTCTGGTCTAAGTTTATTTCTGAGTTGCTCTCATACGTTTGTCGAAGTTTATGAAACTCGAGTAGAGCACTGTAAGATCATCTATCAACACTCCCTCATGCTGCGGGTCTCGAAAGTGCTGGGTTGTTTGCAATGCTAACAAATCGTGTTGCCTTAATGGGAAGGTCAAAACTTCCTTACAGGGGACAAGAATTATTATCTGCAGAATAATAACCCTGCACATAAACTACTTTTTCCATACGTGAGTTTTCAAAATAAAACAAATATATATAAATGCGGCAATTTGTTTTTACATTTCTGGTGAGTTGGCATATTTTACAGGAAAAAAAGAACATTTTGATGAACAACAAAATGAAGCTGCCTCTCCTTCCTCTCTCCCTCCTGTTCAGATGATTGAAGGCAGCTCCATGAAAACATACGACTCCATTCAGAAGCTCATGAATGAGAAGAGTCACCTCAAACAGGCCATGAGCACAGCCGATCGGCTCCGCCTCTTCCCAACGCTTCACCGCCTTAACTCCAACAAGAGGCCGACGCCACAGACCGCCAAGATCTCCTCACTGCCAGAGGAAGCAGAAGATGAAGTCCATGACACGAGACTCTAACTGGCCAGCTGCAAACACACATGCGCATACACACCTGCAGGGACAAACAAACAGCTGTTTGAAGACCAATGATTTGGGGTTAATTTCTGAAGCAAGATTGACGAGGCCGTAATGACAGAATCTGAATCAGTTTGGACAACTCAGGCATATTATTTTACCCACTCTTAGGAGAATAGTGAAATGTGTCTTACAGAAATTGAAGCCACATTTTTCATAGCCAAACATAGCTGCTGAGATCCACTTCACTGTCACAAAGTAAAACCAGGATTATGAAGCTTTGCACACATAAAAAAAAAAAAGCTATGTCCTAAATTACTTAAACAGTCCAGCTACCTACTATTTTATTAACCTTTTACCAAAGGTGTGACTGGAGCCGATCCCAACATAGGGCAAAAGGCAGGATAAGCAATAATAAGTAAGTAAAGTTTATTACAGAGAGCTTTTCACAAAGAAGCAGTCACAAAGTGCTGTATCACAAAGCAGAGTAAAACCTGCCACTCTGGACAAGTTATTACTCCATCACAAGGCTAACACAGAGACAGTGAACCACACGCTCACATCTAAAACCAGTAAAGCCATGAGCTAACCTAACACTAATGTCTTTGGACTGTGGGAAAGAACTGGAAGATGCTGAGGAACCCAAAGAACATGCTCAACACAAAAAGAGAAGCCAGCAAGGAGGTGAGGTGATGTGTTAACCACTGTACCACTGTGTCGCTCCCACCTCAGAATAGGCATGTTTAAAAGTTGCCTGAACATGACTGAGTGTGCACAGTGCAAAATATGAAGGATGAGAGTACAGATGCAAAACGTCTAATTGCAGGTGTCTCAAACATTAGAATAACACAAATGCAAGTTTAGGAGTATTATTTTTTTGTTTGTTTTTTTTAAAGAAAATGTGTGCAATGGTGAATTCTGCCACAAAATTAAAGGAAAATCAGTGTGTGTGTGTGTGTGTACGTGCGTGCGTGCGTGTGTGAATGAAAGGCTTCACAAGCACACTGCATGGAAGATAAAGAAGAGTATGGAAAGGGACCAGCTAAATAGAGGAAGAATCGTATGACTTACAAAGAGCTGACATGTAAACAAAGCACATCATAGCATGCACCAGAGTCCGGGTTCAGTCTGACTAAGTGGACACTGTTATTTAGCTCATTAAAGAGCTCCGGCAGGTTTCAGTGATGAACAAACAGTACGTGAGCTCATTGAGTTCAGACGGTTCTCACAGATGTGCTCTTCTGCACTTGCTTTGAAAAAAGGGAAAGAAATCCATACTTGTCTTTTTGCATGATTTGTTGTTTAAACAGGATTTTTATTGGTTTCAGTTGCAGTTTTTTGTTTGGTTTTTTTGAAAAGCATTTTGGCTAACAGCCAGCTCATTTTCACTGGAGCACCTCAGACTGAACGTCTAATAACAGCCACTGTAGAAGCCTGACTTTTTAGATGCATTTTGAATGAGTGTGGAGCATGTAACTGAGCATTGTGAGCAAACAGGAAAACAATAAGGCCACATACTTTGTTCTCTATTCTTGGAATATGGAACCGTTAAAAAATAAGAACAATCACAAGAACAGATGTTCTTCTGTTTTACCAAAATGTATCAGTATCAAGCAGGAGTCTTCATGCACACCCTACACAGTCCCCAAAGGCAGCCATTCAAATCCCACTATTTATATTTTTACTTGTATAGCAGGCACCCCGATAGCCAAGCAGTTAGCAAGAGTGAGACAATACACTCCACACCAGACTGGAATAATTTGAACAAGTCAAATTGAACGTAACTGTTGATATTAGCAAATGTTATTCAATAGTTTTGAAGAATCAAATTATAACCATACTATAATTCATTATAATTTCCTCATTTATGTGGTGAAGCTGCTGTTAGAACTGCTCTGAGATTTAGCAGCACTCACACAGGCACTCCAAAGGCATATTGATGTATCCTCGACCAGCATGTTGGTGCTGGGCTGAAGCCTCCAGGCCACCTCATAGCCTCCCCAAGAAAGACAAAGCATCCTATCACACTGTAAAACCTGCCTAGGAACGGCTCAAGACGCACAAGTCTGGAAAAATGTCAAGGTGTCTGGTGCAAAGGATTGATTTTAATGACGTGCTCGTTGGCTTTTACTTTTTATTTATTGTGGCT